GCACTCATCCATGTCTGAACGTTACTCATCTGAAACCTCAACGACTCGCTGGAGCCACCGAGCTTACGCATCTGACTCAATGAATCACGTATTTGATCGATGGTGTCACCAAAAACTGAGAAGCAATCATGGAGCGCAGCTACAACTCGTGGTTGCGCTCCATAGTCAGCTTCGCGTGATTGGTTGGAAAGGAAAGCTGCAATGCGCTTGGCTTTGGCTAGGCTGACTCCGACGGCTACACGAGCTAGTCGAGCAGGGTCTTGTTGTACTGCAGTGGCATAGTGATTAAGTGAATGGTAGCAGGTAGCAGGATACATGGTGGTTTTACAACTCGAGCGAATATAGTCTGTGTCAGCAGAGACAAATCCAGGATTTAGAGGTTGAGGAGCGGCAGCATTAGGAACGATGGCAACTGATGAAAACATGGTAGGGTCGAGGAGAGCAAACGACGGGACAAGGCGGAGGTGGAGGAGAACGGCGGCGAAAAGGATACAGAAGAGGGAAAGAGGATGTGAGGTTTTCATGGTTTATTGTATTTAGCTTCTTTTTTTTCCAAGCATGCAGTACTTAAAGCATTATGAAGAGTCCTTTGATCTCATGTTTTTTAGGCTGTACTGTTTTTGGTTGAAGTACGCGAGCTGATATAGGCAATTGGTCTTGAGGTAAAATGACATTTCTGTCCTAAGAACCATATGTAACGTGTTGTCATGATTTCTATAGTTGAAAAGAATATTCATGTTCCTTTAATTCAGGAAGTAGTACTGAACATTGCAAAATATTTGACCTCTCACAATTTAAAAACGATGCACTAAGAATTGAACCTTATTTTAATTTTATTACAAAAACTGTTTGTTTTTATGTTTTATTTGGATCTCCATCCTCATATGTTCTCTTGAACGTTTCTATTACCTACTTCTTGTTTAATGACCTTTTTACCATATTCTTTATTTTTTTCATATAATTTTTTAAGACCATATTCTACTATTAAAAAGTCTCCCAATTCCCTCCCTCTTTTTTTTTTTGGGGGGGGGGGGTGGGGTGTGTTAATAAGGTAAGACAGAGATTCAATTGCTAATCCTCATCTAAACATAGATCATAGCATTCCATTCGCTTTTAATTTCTTATTGCCTCCTACAAATATCATGCTTTAACTATTAGACCCGTTGTAAGGTAAAAACAAAGGCAAAATCAGGATTTGAAACTAATAGATTTGGAAATTTATTCATTTTAAGTTATTGAGTTCTAAATTAATAATTTGTACATATTCACTGAACTTTTAAAGACAAATATAGAGTTTGACTAAAGCTACTCAGTTCGGCCGAACCCGCGTCCAAAGCCCTGGCTCCTCCCCTAGGTAAAAAGTAATTACTTCTTCAATCTAAAAAGCGTTGGAAGAATCCAGCAGTCATCATATTTACCCACCACAAGGACTAAGATTTTGAGAAACATGGACCTCCACCTTTAACTTTCAAGTTCTTAATTTTGCTGTTAGTTTGCCTAAATTAACGCCACTTAACGGGGTGGACCGAATGACTTTTACTTTAATTATGTGTAACACCTAATCATAAGTAATAACTACCAAACATTGTGTACTTTTGACCTTTGGATGACAAACAAAAAATGCGTACCCACTAGAAAAAAACAAATATAATTGTTGATCTTTAGCATTTCAGCGACAAGACTCTACACTATGATTTATATGGACANAGCAGAATCCCATGTGGATGTCTCGTACACCGCAAAATCTTGCATGCCATCTTTCTCAAGATAATAGAAATAGTCGTCCCTTCTCATTTTCTAAAACAGAAAAGCAAGAACTTCATTATCTTAAATAAATTACTCGTTTATCTCAATTCACTCTCTTATTTTAGTTTTCTAATATCATTTCACACGGTAAGTGTTACTGAGATTCCTTGGAGGGAGATGTAGGGCTAAGCAATCGATATTCGTGTGGTTATTATTTGCCAACTGAGGTCCCCTCCGTATGCTAGACAAGATTGTCAGTATCGTACGGGAAAACAAATATCAATAGCAATTGAGAGAACAAAAGAGAGAATTGAGAATGAAAGAAAGTTTGATTGCATTAATGAAAGCTATTACAGAAAAGCAACACGATGTCGAGGGTGAGAGACACCGGTACAGAGAATTGTTTGCTTGCTTGAAAGTTTGAATTGTTGATCCCCCTAATAATGCTTAAAAAAAATAAACCAAAGTTACAGAACTTGATCTAACTAAGCTAGAGAGACATTGATGGTAGGCTATAATTACGTATTTTAGTCGCTTATTATATTTATTTATCCTAAAATCGGATAACAATTGAATTTATATGTGGTTTTAAGGATACGTGATTTTACTTGGCACAAACTGAGAAAATATGCAAATTGATATTGAAATTGATTGTAAAAAAAAAATTAAAGCAAACCAAATGAGATGTGCAGCTTTGGCCCTCGAGCTGAGTTACCCTCGAATCAAATGAAATAGCAAATGAGATATGAGCAGAGTAACAGAGTATTGAGAACCTAAAGAAAAGAATAGTATATTGCTTTTTATTGCGTGAACGTCCGCCCTTTACCAATTGTTAGATCCCCTTTATATAGTAGGGGAGTGCTACTTATGGTATAATTCTAAATACAGTAAGAAATCCCATGAATGGCTAATTAATCTCTCCTTGATTTGTGCCATAATTTTCGCCGAGATTCTCCCCCTAATTACGGCTATAACGACTTTTTTGTTTCTTGGCTCGATCTTGATCCTGGTCGATCTCGATCTTGGCCGACCTCTATCTTGATCGGTCTCTGGGTCTCGAGCTCGACAATATATACTTTGCACCATGGCTCGATATTACAATGATAAACCTCGGACTATTATGTTCCAATCTCGATTAATCATACGAAGGGCAAAACTCGGTTTTGACCGTATACAGATAGTCCCCTCATTTCTCAAAAAGAAGATGACGAGAAACGATATGAATTTTTGGATTCAGACTTGATGGATGATGATGTCAGCGACTAGCCCGATTATGACGTATGTAACAAACGTCCCGTCGGTCTAGTTACCAAGGCATTAAATGCCTGTCAGTTGTTGGTCAGCCACTACCTGTTCTGAACCGTCATCACCAGGTTATAAATATTTACACTTTCATCCTCATCCAAATTTTCACTCAAAAGCTTTTTCTCTACTCTTGCATCTTCTTCAAAAAATCCCTTTGCTTCATACATTTTACATCGCATACAACCCTAATTCTCGTTCCCTTTGTTCATCAATGGCGAAAACCTCCAAAACGGTGCCTTAAAAAGAGGTCGTTTCTTAATCACGACCCGCCGGCGGCGAGGATGCGGCGGAGCCTCGCCCTGAGGAATTCGTTCCGATAGGGTGCTCAACTGTCATCGATTTTAAGGTTGAAAAACCTTCTTCGGTACCGGGCCGATGTGAGCCGATCTCGAGGTACCAGTGTTCAATCACCGAGAAAATTCTCGATAAAGTAAAATAGGAATGGAATTAGGGCGACAAGCACATGGTAGTCCCATCGCGTGAAGAATCAATTACTACCCACGTGGAAGGGTTCTTAAGTATTTATACTTATCCTTTCATGTTGGGTTCATTAGACCCTATCATCGTCGCCTTTTGCAAGAGATACGACGTGACCCTTGGACAAATCCACCATTCTTTTTGGAGAATAGTGATTCTTCTTCGATTCTTCTCAAGCAAAATCGAGGGGTGTCTTTTTACCCTCGATCACCTTATGCACCTTTATAGTCCCCAACTCTATCGTGGAGGGTTAATCAAGCTTGCTCGCCGAGCCAACAAAGCACCATTCTCGAGTATAGATGAAATTCGTAATCGAGGTTGGATGGGTCGATTTGTTCGAGTCAAAACCTCGGACCTGATCCATGCCGATCACATGTCGTTTCCTGAGAAATGGAATATGAACCATGAGTACTTATGTCCCTTCGAGCGTTTTAATTTGTGATTGCCTTTCATTTTCTTGATACACTTTTTCTTTCTTGTTACAACTATGGCTCGGATGTCGGAACCGATTCTGGGTCTTAAACAATGGGTTGAAGGTCTGGTATTACAGAGACCGTACTCCGAGCGCGCTTGGGTGGAACTATCAAAGGGTCGATGAGAGGCCTGCAGTAATGGTAAGTCTCTTTCTTAGTTTGTTTGTCATTTATTCTTCTTCACTTGCTTACCTCCCCCCCACCCTTTTTTTCCTTTGTAGGACTTGGGAAGGATGTTGCCATGAGGCCCCCATCTGCCTTCCCTGAAGCAGGTTAAAGAGAAGAAGATAAAAGATGCACCGATTTCCCCGGTCTCGAAAAAGAAAAATCCGGCGAAGAAATCTCTCAAGCCCAAGGGGGGCTCCGGTATCATGCCTCCGAACTCGATCCACCATTTAAGGGATGGGCCCGAAGAAGGAGAAGAGGAATTAGCCTGTGTACGGGCTAATATTGTGATACAACAATCCTCCGAATCAGCGGAGGTAGATAAGGGAACCCTGGCCATAATTCCTGAACAAAAAAAAGCCGAGACTATCCCGTCTCGAGCTGAGATGGTTGAAGGGGAGACCGAGGGCAAGACTTCTCAGGCAGTAGAAGATATCTCGAGGGACGAGCTCGGGGTAATCGACATTAGCAGATTCCCTTAGATTTTGGATGCTATGATCCGTGAGGCCAACATATTGGAAGGTCGATCTTATGAAGATATTCAGGAGCCGACTGATATCCACGACTTTCTGGATGGGCTCAAGTCAGCTGCCTCGGAGGAGATTATCGGGTTCGGTGGATTACCGATACCGAAGAAAGCATCATGGTCGGGCTCTACCGGGTCTTCATCATGTTTGGCAACGGCTTGACATGAGCACGAGGAAATGGCTGAGCAGGTATTCCGAATTCTTCATGATAGTGAAAATGAATTGGAGATAACCACTAACGATCCGATTTTGCAGGTTCGGCAGAGGCTCGAACAGATTGGACGGCTCAATTCGCAGGTAGATGAGCTACTGGCCGAGGCAAAAAAATTCAAAGAGAATATGGATGTCCTTGCCTCGAAAAAAGAGGTCATCCAAGCGCAATTAGAGTTGGTTGAGACCCAGCTTCGGGCTGCAAAAGAAAATGCCTCGGTGCAGATCGAGAAGATTAAGGAGCTTCAACATCGATTGCATTTGGCCACTTCTGATAAGGCAGGCTTGGCCGATGAACTCGAAGTGGACAGATCCAAGGTGGCCGAGGCTAATAAAAGAGTTGATGCTAAAGTGTCCCAGTTCAGGATCGATGTTGAGGTCAACCAGGCCAAGGCCAAGAGCATGGTCAAACATGCTAAATGGCAGGCTTGAAGGGAAGCTCTCGAAGAGGTCAGCGCTCAGGGCTTCGATGTTGCATCCGAAATTGAAAATGCCAAGGCGAAGGAAACCAGAGCCTGAAGGCTGGCCTTCCCGGAGGAAGACTCCGAGAGCTCGAGCGAATCTGAGGACGGAGAAAATTCCGAGGACGCAGCCTCCGATGAAGACCAAGCTACGTAGGATATTAGGTTTCTTGTTTTTCTTTTGTATGTCTTCTGGGGCCGATTCGGCCTTTTGTAAATTATTTTTGAATATATATATAAGGCTTTTCTAGCTCTTTTGATT